GCAATTACCAGGATGACTGTAACAGAGGGGTTCTCTAAGAAATAAGGAATGAATGACTGAGCTTTTGTTCAGGCCAGAAAGTGGCCGGAAAAACAAGGTGGCTGCAAGCCAGGGTTCCACTGTATTGTCCAAGGTTGAAATTGCATCTCAGTGGTTTTCTAAAGAATTTTAAGGGCATAACTTTAAAATCTATGCTGTTCTGTAGCATTATTTTATGACATCTGAATAGATAGTCTATTAAAACAGGATGACACTAGTATGTGGTTGCAAAATGTAATTTCTTTAATTAATAATTTGCTTAATAAGAAGTTACACATAACGAACTACTTTGATAAGCTAATTGGCGACTTACATAATGCTCTGAAAGAAGTCATATAACAAATACTATTAACTTTTTTTGTCTGTCTTCAAGCACATTCATTATTCACAGCATCAAAACACATGTGCCTACTCTTTGGCAACTTACATGCTACATGGCATGAAATGCAACTTATCTTGTAAGAGGCATTTTAGTTAAACAAGCCAGGCAAAATAACTATATTATTCTTACTAATAAATACACAAAATTGTTTGTATTTTGATGGTGTTTCTTATTCCAAAAAGGAATTGTAAATATCCAAATAATCTCAAGTCAAAAAATCAGGGTTCCCTAGTTGAAGGTACTTGATGAGATTCAATTGGGTCCAGGTGAGGTCTGCGATCCTCATTTCTCCCTGAAGTCCAGAACAAAGTGAGAACAGTTTATTTTTGAACAAGTTTTTGTGCAGGCAGTCTTTTCCCTTGCAAACGTGCCATGCCTCTGTCTTGTAACAATTGTTTCCTTCACGTTAAGATCTTCCCCCTTACTCTCTGCCTGATATTGATTGAATATTAAGGAAAAACTAGACCCAAAACAACTTGTTTTGGACGCCAACAATGAATTCTCCTAAGGCCAACATAACATTTGATTTAGTCCGACCATCATCTCAAGCTGGACTGGGCCTTTGCATGACTGATACAGTCCCCTAATACAAAATCAGCCATGTTAGGTTACNTACATGTATGTTTCAAACGTTTTATTCATGTGAAAAGTCAACTTCGAAAAAAAATCTGGTACTTCCTATTGAGAAATTTCAGTCTGACCTTGTACTTCTCAGTACAACACCTTATCTTATTATCTTATTATCCATATTATCTGTCAAGTGGCCACTTATGAGAGGTTAAAAACAAAAGAAAATTTAAAACTTTTAGTTCTTATACTAAAAAGTCACTAAACACGATTCTCAACATCAGACTCAGCCTTGAAACATCCTATTTCTCACTGTTTTCGACGTTTTCCCCCAGCCAAGCAATCAACCATAACGGCAGCTGAACAGGCGACAGTACATGATCACTGAGAATATCCAACAATTAATTAATTAACTAAATTTAGGACATTTATTTTAAGATAAAAGAAAATAAAATATTAAACAGATTGTTCAATTTGTAAATTACTTTGTGTGATATACCTTTTTGACACAATGTCCTCCAATATGTAGGTAGTGTCCCAAATGAGCTTTCTGATGTACAAGGAACAGCTTAATAATTAATACACCACTTGTGTTGATATGCCATCACACTTCAGTTGGAAAAGCAAGTTAAGTTTGTGAAATGTTTATGAAGGCAATGCCTGTGTGTCCCAGGATGCATGTTACAAATTCAGTCCTCTATAGCACTAAAGAGGCACTTAAATAGTTATACTGGAGCATACTGTTTTCGTGTTATCTGCAGATGCTGTCTGATACAACGCCGTTCATTCCATGTTTACACTAGCACTCCACTATATGTTACAAACTGGTAACTGGTATGGATCATGGAGCCGCCATTTTGGATATCCTCAGTGACCACATAATATCGGCCCTTCCCCTTCCTCTTATCCAGTGTTTCAACCAGAAAATTTTACTTCAGGGCCAAAGTGGCCCCTGAAAACCTAAGATTTTAGGGGCCAAGTTTATTAGG